GTGTGTGTGTGTGTGTGTGTGTGTGTGTGTGTGTGTGTGTGTGTGTGTGTGTGTGCTTCTTTGGTGTCCACAGAGACTCATAATCATGTTCTATTGTTAAGGTTTATACTGGTCAAAACTGCATAAATATCAGTGCACATTGCTTCTTGGCAGTTTGACTTTTTGCTCAACATGACATCTATAAAGCTGGAAAAACAGGGTTGGGCGCTCACACATCTGCTGTTGTTTGCATCTTTCACTATTGCTGAAGAACCAAAATGCAAACAGATAGGAGATCCTGAAGAACCTCAGTTATTCAAGGATGGTGACATTATGTTGGGTGGAGTCTTCTCCTTTCACAACAACTGGAAAGAAAAACAGGAAACATACCTAAACAAACCTCTGCCACTGCAATGCACCAGGTAAATATAAAAAAATGAAATTAATTGAAATGTTTTAAAGTTAAATGAAACGTTAGTCAAAAGCAGGTACAGATGTTTCTTTAGGTATGGTATATCATGTAAACATTTGTTTTGAGGATTAATAAAATTGACTGCTTTCATTTGTGTATGAAACTGTTTATAATTCCAGGGAAAAATAATTTATAATGTCAATTATTTGTAATTGTCTGAATCAAGTTTAAATTTCAGAGAATTCCAGTTAGTCCAGGCTATGCTTTTTGCCATCGAGGAGATAAACAATAGCTCAGACCTGCTGCCGGGAATCTTTCTGGGCTATAAAATATATGATACGTGTGGATCCATTGCTAGAAGTGTAAAAGTTGCACTTTCATTGCTTAACAGTAATGACAATGCATCTGCTCCTTCTAAAGCATGTACAAAACCTRCACATGTGCAGGCTATAATGGGAGAAGCCTCTTCATCTCCCAGCACAGCAATAGCTACTGTTATTGGGTCATTTCATATCCCACTGGTAGGTAGGATTAGAAAACAATGTTATACAGTGAACAATATTAGTCTTCATAATTTATAATTTATAATGTTTGATGTTTGATAATGTTTGACATGTTTTTTTAATTTCAGATCAGCCACTTTGCTACATGTGCTTGTCTCAGTGACAAAACTAAGTACCCCTCATTTCTCAGAACCATACCCAGTGACCACTATCAGAGTAGAGCCTTGGCCCTTCTAGTCAAACACTTTGGATGGACCTGGGTTGGAGCTGTTAGAACCAATGATGATTATGGCAACAGTGGCATGGCAACATTCACAGAAACTGCGGAGCAGCTGGGCATCTGTTTGGAATATTCTATTTCCTTCTATAGAACTGACTCATCAGACAAAATACTTAAGAATATTAATATAATCAAAGCCTCAACTTCAAAAGTGATTGTTGCTTTCCTCTCCCAAGCTGACATGGATGTCCTTATACATGAGTTTTCCAAACACAACTTGAGTGGGTACCAGTGGGTTGGTACTGAGGCTTGGATCTTTGATTTTCAAACTGCTGCAGGGGATACAAACCATCTCCTGGATGGAGCTATAGGTCTTTCTATCCCAAAAGCAGATGTCAGTGGTTTGAAAGAGTTTCTTCTAGATGTGAAACCACTTAATTCAACAGATACTAACTTGTTTACAGAGTTCTATGAGGCACTATTTGGCTGCAAGTTCAAACCATCTCAGTCAGAAGAGATTCAGAGTCAATGTACTGGACATGAAGATCTGACTGGAGTGGAAAACACTTTCACTGACATGTCCCTCATGCCTATTTTCAACAACATGTATAAAGGAGTGCATGCAGTGGCCCATGCTTTGCACAATATTCTCAGCTGTAATGAAATGTGCAACAACAATTTGCAGCTAGAGCCTTTAACAGTGAGTGCAACATRTGATCAAGATTTAAAACTTTTAAGTGTAATGTTTTAGAAATTCCATGTACAGTACTTGAGGTAATAGGATTGCAGAATGTTTAATTAGTAGTAATTAGCTGACTTTACAGATTTTACAGCAGATACTAAGGATTAATTTTGAAACAAATGAAGGAGATGTGGTTTATTTTAATGAACACGGAGATCCACCAGCAAAATATGAAATAATAAACTGGCAGCCAAGACAAAATGGCATTGTAAACTTTGTCACTGTTGGTCTTTATGATGCATCTTTACCTGCAGACCAACAAATGAATGTGAAAACAGAAACTTTAATCTGGGCACAAAAAGCAAAACAGGTAAGAGCCCGGAAAATTATCAGCATTGTTAATGGTAAAATGGTAAATGGACCCCAAAGCACTTTACACTACAGTAATTAACATGTTCAAACACACACATTCACACACTGATTCACAAAGTAATGACACCATATATTGTTTGATGATTGATTTTATAATCTGTAATGCTCAAAAACAGGAGTACAATAAAATAATATTTTATTGTATTTTTTTTTGTTTGTTTTTTTGTTGTTGCTTTTCTTCTTGTACTGTAGGTTCCTGTGTCAGTTTGTAGTAAACCCTGTCCTCCAGGAACAAGCAAAGTTCTTCAGAAAGGAAAACCTGTTTGTTGCTATGACTGTATAAGATGTGCAGAGGGGGAAATTAGCAATATCACAGGTTAGTAAGTAGGTAATTGAACTCTTTAGGCCAGTAATGTTCAAGTCCTCAGATCTAAAACTGTTTCATGTTTCAATTTGAGTAGTGAGATTTTGTAATACTGTTTTTTGTTTGTTTGTTTGTTTGTTTGTTTGTTTGTTTGTTTGTTTTTTCTCTCCTACAACTTTTGTATCCAAAGCATTTAAACAAAATAACAACTAGACCTCATTCTAAAACACAAGTATTTTAGGAAAATTACACAAAACTAAACTGAATCAGTTTTATTACAAAAATAAACTAAAACTGTAGTCTGCAGAGATTCTCGCCTACAGTAAATGGTTGTTCTGCACTCATTGAGTAACATTTGTCAGTTCGTGAGAAAGAAATATGCAAAAAAGCACATTTATTACAATTCTACTCTCTAAATTAAGTTTTTTTATTGTGCTTTTTTAGATTCTGTGACCTGTGTGAAATGCTCTCCGGAGTTCTGGTCAAATGAGAAAAGAGATGCCTGTATAAAGAAGGAGGCCGTGTTTCTGTCATATGAAGAAATTATGGGAGCACTGCTTACGGCAGCTTCTTTATTTGGAACATGTCTAAGTGCTGCTGTAGCTATTATTTTCATAAAATATAGGAAAACTCCTCTTGTCAGAGCAAACAACTCTGAGCTGAGCTTCCTGCTGCTTTTCTCATTGACCCTGTGTTTTCTCTGCTCTCTGACCTTCATTGGACGTCCCTCTGAGTGGTCCTGCATGCTCCGTCACACAGCTTTTGGTATCACCTTTGTCCTCTGCATCTCTTGTGTTCTGGGGAAAACAATGGTGGTTTTAATGGCCTTTAAAGCTACACTTCCAGGCAATAATGTGATGAAATGGTTTGGACCTGCACAACAAAGACTCAGTGTTATTGGTTTTACTCTTATACAAATAATTATATGCATCCTCTGGTTAGCAATTTCCCCTCCTTTTCCATCAAAAAATGTTGAAGGATTTAAAGATAAAATTATCTTGGAGTGTGCTCTAGGCTCTTCTATAGGTTTCTGGTCTGTACTTGGATACATTGGACTTCTGGCTGTGTTTTGTTTCATCTGTGCTTTTTTGGCTCGAAAACTGCCTGATAATTTCAATGAAGCAAAATTTATCACTTTTAGCATGTTGATATTTTGTGCAGTTTGGATCACGTTTATTCCTGCATATGTTAGCTCACCTGGAAAGTACAGTGTTGCTGTAGAAATATTTGCCATTCTTGCCTCCAGTTTTGGACTGCTGATTTGTATTTTCCTCCCAAAGTGTTATATCATGCTGATAAAACCAGATAAAAACACAAAGAAATATTTGATGGGGAAAGGACCACAAAAAGCATTTTAAAACCTGAAAGGCATTCTACCATCAAATCTTTTTGATGTCATTTACAAACAATAATTTATTTTATGATTGACGTTTTCATTTTATTTTAGCTTTTTATACCATGTAACAATGTAACCATGTAACCACTGCTGTCATAAACTGATTTTGCCATTCCTGAGCATTTGTGGGAAAAAATAATTTCTTGCTCTTCTTCCTCAGACAATCCACTCAACACATAGCCAGAAATTCAGTGTGTAGACAGAAAATCCACTATAAAAACTGGAAGGCTTTTTGTTGTAGGGTACCTCACACTGAATTACCATTGATGTACACAACAGACAGGACCTGCTTGCATATAAAAAGCCCTGTTTGACAAATTAGTCTTTACAGAATAAACTAACAAATATAGGAGCGATTTACAAAAAAATAACTTTACCTTTTTGAAATATAAATGGCATCAGTTTGCACGCAAGATTAAAGTGATCTCTTGGCTCAAGTCAGTCAGGGGGCAGGCCAAGTTTACTGTTTACAAAGTACCAAATCAACCTCTGGTAATAATGTATTAGTTCCATGACTATATATATA